GAATATTCTTCACTCTAAGACAGCTTGGGCTAGGAATGGTCATGTCTAGGGAGCTGTCGGTTCACACCTCAGCAGGGTGAGCGACATCTAAAGTTCAGCAAATCTCTAACCTGGCTACTCACTGCTTCACTCAGAGCCTCAAAGAAGATCAGAGAAGCCCATCTGACTCCTGCTGCACTATGTCGGGAGACTGGAGGTGGTACACCCATGAGGTTGGCCTATGTCCTTTCCCTGTATACACATTCATAATGGGCACTGATAGCAGAGGCAACTAGGGAATGGCAAACACGGATTCTCAGCCTAAGGAACAAAACAGGGTCTCATCTCCAGCATCTCCAGGTTCCTGAACCCTTGCCCCCAGTGATTCTGTATCTTAAGTGGTCTCCATGGTGCCCCAGTGTCAAGCACAGGCCTGGTACAGAGCCAAGACTCAACTATGTACTGACTAAAACAAAAAAAGACTAGTACCTCATTCAGGCTATCTTCATCCCAATCTCTTCCCCTACCATACCGTGGTACACCTGTTATATCTATTACAATACCAGAATGTAGACCAGGTGGTTTGACAGTCGGCCGTGAACCCCTGAATCCTGAGAGTTTATGATTCCCTAGACCTTTTACAATCACCATTGGACAGACAATGCCTAGCTCAGGAGCACATGAAGAGCCCAAGTGTCCCTGTGCCACCCCAAGTACATGCCAGGATATAATCTTGCTCTTATAAGTATCTTCCAGAGTGACCCAACTTTCCAAGTCAGGGAAGTGCAGAATCAAAGTGGTCACTTTAACCTCTTCATTTATCTTCTTGGCTGGTCAGGTCAGCCTGATCTCTCAGCTCATGTTCATGAGTGTTTCACCACCCTTTTCTGTTAAATGTCTGTAAAGAACCACGTGCTGGGGCGAATGCCTCACTCATATCACTTAGGTGAATCCTTGTCAGCCTATCTAGGAAGCAAGTATTTTATCAGGATGTTACAGAGGAGAAAACATGAGTTCAGAAAAGTTGTGATATACCTAAGATCACACATCATAAAAAGTAATAAGATACAATCAGAACCCAGAATGCCAGCTCTCAGGTTGTACTCTCAGGACACGACTCCCTGCACCAGCATCCAAGGCAGACTATGCTCAACCAACACTGGAGTCCCAGGGCGCATACTATTCCTGAACAGGGCCACAAGGCGGTTGATTGGAAGAAGCAGCCATGCCAGTAGAAAAGTACATTTTTACTAGAGCTCTTCTGTCTATTTTTCCCTGGCTGTGCCTCTAAGTGATGACCCCTGTTACCTTGACCAGTTCTGATCCTGGAATGAGTACCTTCAACCTAAGACGGTTATGCACTTCTGCTGTACTTGGAGGCCTCAGTGCTTTTGACTTCAGATACTGCCGTCTCCAGTCATGTGACTGCAAAACCTCAGACAATGTTTACTCATCCCTCAACTAGCCTGTGCCACCTCTCACCTGACCCAGCCCAACCCTTTCAATGGCTTCTATGCCTCATCTTCTTCTCTCCCCCACTTGTTCCCCAGTCAGCTTCCTAAAACAAAGGTGATAAATGATGTCACACCCATCTTCACAACCTCCATTAGCCCAAAGAACCTTCTCATGCCCTTTCTCTACCAACCACATATCCAAGAGGCTGCACTTCCTATTCATCCCCCGACACCAAGCCTTTGTTCTTATGGTTCTTATAGTTTCCTAAGTCAAGTAGCCCTGCACAGCAGAGGCAAATTCTACTCATGTGAGAAGGACCTTCTGTCTCTTCTCTGAATCTTCCCCACATGCTTGAGGTACTTTTCTAAATCCTCCAATTCAAACTTCTAAGGACACTGAGTCCCGTGTCTTGTTGCAAATCATTTATGTGAGGCTAACTACAGTTTACTGAGGGCAATGCCAATCTAATTCATGTCCAGAGTGCAGGTGAAGAGCAGGACCTGGCAGAGAGGAAATCAGCACACTCTTGTTTCACCAAGTGTCCCAATGAGGCCTTGTCTTTAGGCAGTGTATAGGGCTTATTCACTTGAGCTTTCCAGGCAAGGGAATCCAGGCTGAAGAGTCCAAACAAAAACTGCCCAGGGCTTGGTTTAGTATGGTTCTAATGGAGGCTAGAGTCCCTGGCAGAGCTGCCAGCCCATCTAGCTGTGGGCAGCACCACCCCATAGCACAGCAGGAAATGACATTGGCAAGCCCTGACTCACTGTAGGCTTTAGTACAGCCGGACGCCTACAGGGTACCAGTGATGCTGGATTAGTCTTTGACCCCAGCATCTTGGGCATTTGGCTCCACTTGGCCCTCTCCCAATAGGTGGCTTGAAGTCTACAGAAAAGTCTTATCACTGGGTGGTAAAGCACCACTGTGACTAGAAAGGTAAGATTCCAAGCCCCATGCCCAGAAGCTGCCCTCTTGGTCCTCAAGAGCCCACAGACCTGGCATGAGAGCTGAGGGATGGAAAGCAGACAAACAAGATTTAACCCTAGAGAATGGGCAGATGGCCTAAGAGTACTGGCCTCAAATGGAGATAGAAAAGGAAGAACAACAAGAGACAGAGAATCAAGGTCCAGTAGAAGTTAGGGTCTACTACACTCAGAAATCCTTGGGCAGACATGGGCAAAGGGACACAGATGTGGGCAAATACAAAGCTTCAGGATGCAACAATGGTCCAGGATGAAACTGGAAGGGCTTTAAGCTTAGAGAGAGAAGGTAACTGCAGGACCAGCTCAGATTTCCTTGTCCTTTACTCAGAAACCCAAATTCTCCTACCCCACCATGACCTGGCCCAAGTTCATCCAAGAGGTAGAAGCCCATTGAGGCTCCTTACCGTATGGGGGTTGTCATAGTAGACAGCGATGGAACGAAGCTTGGGAGAGATGCTGCAGCTCTCCGTGAAAAGCTGTCCAGTGTCACCATAGGACCCCACATGGAACTTGTAGGCCACAGTGATGTTACGGATTGGGGGTGATCCAGCACTCACTGTTACCCCAGTCAGCAGTCCTGAATACCCAGCAAAGGCCAGCAGCGTCAGCAGCAACAGCAGAGTCAGGCCCCCAATCAGGCCCAGTAGTAGGAGATCCGGCATGGTTCTGGGACTCCCTCTCAGCACCCCAAGGTAGCTGTAAAGGAGACAGAAGGGAGAGGAGGCTGGTAGCCTGCTCTAACCCTGCCTGCCTGCTGGTTCTGGCCCAATCTCAGCCATGCCTTAGTGCTCTGACCCAGGAGGGGGAGGGACCACAGGTATTTACACACAGTGACCTAGAAGGGAGCTACAGATGACTGAAGCCACAAGCCTCTTTATTTCCTAATCATAGCTATTGACGCTACTGAAACAGCTCTCCCTGGCACTAGGAGCCCTGCTCATACCTGAGGAAACTGAGTCATCCACCAGGCCCTGACCAGAGAGATTTCCCCCATACTCGGCTAGATACCACCAGGAGCTATCCCTCTCCCTGCTCTGCCTCTTCCTTCCTGCAGTTGAGCCACACTGCCACCCCAGTATCCTCAAGAATCATTCACTATTGAAGGGGAGGGGCATGGGACACATGGGACACACACCTGCCAGGTATGGGGTTCAAAAACTCATTAACAAACAGTATACCATGAGGAACCAAACCCATGGAGAAAATGGGACACAAGAAGAAAATTTCATGGGAGACACTTTTGTGTTTGATAGTGGGCCCATCTGGTCTCTGAGGAGCTGAATTTCAGGCAGAACTAGAACTCTAGAACTAGAGGAGACAAGATCAAAACAGCCTGAGAGGCCAGAACAAAGTCCAATGTTTCCAAGACATGAACCACCAAATGCTAAACAGCTTTATTCCACTTTTGCCAGCCCGCAAAGATTAGAAACAAATAAATAAGAAAAAAAAAAAAGGCTGTTAGAAGTGGAAACACAAAAGGGGAAAAAGTAGGAGTTATTCCTAATAGATAGGTCTACAGGAATAAACCCAGCATCAACACAGAAGACTGTGTTGAATGTTCTAGGCAGACTCTTACAGTTGGCTTCATTTGAGTAGCCCAGGGATCACAGCACATAGAACAACAGTTAAAAAAAAAAAAAAAAAGAGAAACATGAACTTTACTAGGGAAACAGTTCCACTCTAGTTATTTGAAATTCTTATTATTTAATGGTCAGTGAGAGGGCTCAGTGGGTAAAGACACTTGCTGCTAAGCCTGACAACCTGAGTTCAATCCCCAGAACCCACATGATGAAAGTAGAGAACCAACTCCCTTCAGTTATCCTGCACACCATCCACATGGTGTTTTAAAGGGCTGGAGAGATGATGGCTCAGCAGTTAACAACACTGGCTGCTTTTCCAGAGGACTCAGGTTCAATTCCTAGCACACACAGGAAGGCTAACAACTGTCTGTAACTCCAGTCCCAGAGGATCCAACACCCTCATTTAGTCTCCACAGGCATCAGGCATCCAAGTGATACACAGATACATATATGCAGGCAAAACATCCACACACTTAAGAAATTAAATTTAAAAAAAATTCCTATTTAAAAAGTAAATGATTTCAGAGCTGAAAAAAATGATGCTTTATCCCTATAGAAAATTTAGCTCCATGGTTTGTTCCCTGAACGTTGTGAGTGTAACTAACATATGCTAAAAATCTGTTTCTGGAGTCAATGAGCAGGCAGAACCGGCCTTACAAAGAGGCCAAGAATATTTCTGAACTCTGGTGTCAGGACACTGAGGTGCCTCCCACTGGTCTCCTCGTGCATCCTGTACTCCTGCCTGTAAGAGCCATTATCTTCTGTTTGCATTCTGTGCTGCTCAACCCTGCCTCCAGTTAGCTTCATTCTTCTTTTTTGATAATGACGATAACAGCGCTTCCACCCCGTACTTACTTTATCCTAGGCACTGTCTGAATGTTGAGCCCCAGCTGCTTCACCAATCCTCAAAAGAAGCCAGTAAAGTAGGTACACACCAGGGAAGAAGTGGCTGGAGGTCACGACGCATGTCCAAGGTCACACAGGTGCTGCACAGAGCCACCTGGACCCAAACACAGGCAACAGGAGCCCTAATGGTCAGACTCCAGTCCACTGCCATTGTTTCTCTCCTCTGGCTTCCAGAAACGCGTTCCATCCATGTTGGACCTTGCTGAACTCACGGCTAGAAGCTCTCAGCATCTAGGCCACAACCTGCCTTGGGAGTGACAAGCACTGCCACACACTTCTGTTTTAAGGGAACTTAGCGCCCAACCCTGCTCTTCCTTCCACTTCTCAAACTGCTCGGTAAAGAGGGGGTATGTTTCTGCCCACTCCCATAGCTTTGGTCAGCCTAGGATGGAGAAGCAAGGCAGATTTCCCCACAGCCAGTAGGGAAAGACAAGGACAAGGTGTTGAGGGGCTCACCTAAAAAGCCAGGCTCACTTTTAGCAACTCATAGCATCCAGTACAGCAGGGCTCCAGGACTCCCGGCGCTGGAGGGTAGGAAACAGAAAGGAACAGTCAACAGCCCTAGACACAGGCAGTGAGCAAAGCGGGACACCAGGCCCTGAGCAATCCCTTTTCCGGTGAAAGCCCACTGGACAGGACTGTCTACGAGCGAGCCGACCCCACCCTCAGACCCGGAGGGGAAATCAGGCCAAACCCAGCCTCACAACGTCATGTCTGGGCTCTTCACTGGGCCCATCTACCACACTTGGCGTCAACGGAGTCCCTGCTGCTGACCTTGGGCAGTGTGTGCCCTCTCTTGGGCCTCAGTTTCCACTAACGTCAGAGGTCCAGGGCAGATGCCTTCCTTGGCCCGAAAGCGTCGGAGCTGCGGCTAGACGCAGGCTTCCTGAGGCCGCTCACGTGCGCTCTGCGGAGGGCCCGGCCCTTAAAGGGACCTGCGCCAGCGAACTTGGGCGCTAGGAGCCAGGGAGGGCGCCGCTTTGCGCCCTCGGCTTCCAGTCCCCGCACGGCTCGCCGCACGGCCTCGCGCACACCTCTGCAACTTCTG